GCGCACTGGCAAAACAAGAAGAACGCAAAAAAAAAAAAGCTTTTCAATCTTGTAAACAAACCCCCTCAATTTTGACTTTGTCAAAGTTGTATTGGTTTAATTTTTTTTTCTTTAATTCTACATGGCATAACCTTCTTCTTCTTTTTTTATTATTTTATTTTTTTAATATATATATATATGTTCTCTTTAAATTTTATTAATTATTAATATTTTTCCTTTTCTTTTTAGGTAATTTAAAAGAAAACATCTAAGCTTACCACCTTTAAGTAAAGTTTATATAATCTATCAATATTTAAATTTAAACTACTAAAATACATTAAAAAAAACTATGGAGCATTACATTTGACCTCTCTCCTCCTATACGAGCCTTCCTATATCAAAGCTAAGGCTTTGAAATTTTGTAGCTCTTTTATGTAGTCCAAGATCTCCAACTTTGAATCTCTAAGGTTTGACTCTTGAGTTGTGGTATCGTGTACTTTACGTTGTAGGGTCAAAAAGTTTTCCTTTTTTCTTCTAGGAGGTCAAGATTAACAAGCAATGCCATGTTATTTGTTTGTTCACCAAAATTTTCAACTTATGTATAGTTAGACCGATCTCCACAAGTACCATAGGTTCAGAGATTCATTCCAAGTAGCGTCCAATTCATCTCCCAATTCCCTTGAAAGGCACTGATCAACGAACCTGCTTATTTGTTGGGATTATGGAGTCAAAACAGGAAAAACACGTCCTATGAAGAAAATGATTTTTCAACACTATTACAAATTCCTACAGGCAGTAGGATGTTGTTGCCTTATAAGGATTACAATATTGTTTTCCTATAATAATTAGGATATTTGGCCTCTTATAAATAGAGCCCTTACGCTAAGGTTTCATTTGTACATAATCCAAATAAAAGGGACTTGAGTGGTTGTGGGCAGTGTTGAAAAGGATTCTGTATCCAGTGGGTTTAGTGAGTGTTTTTCATTCCTGTACCTAAGTATAGTGTGTTATAATACTTAGAAGCTAGAGGACTTTTGTTGGGACCTCTAGGGGATATTTTTGGGGAGAGTTTTGTATTCTAATCTTTAAACAATTATTAGTGAATTACCCACATGTGAGTGGAAGACTGGACGTAGCCCTTAATGGTGAACCAGTATAATTTGCTATGTCGTTATTCTTGTGCTTTTACAGTTTTCTTCCTATTTTCATATATTTTGGTTGTGTTTGGAAATTTCTGTGGAAGATGAAATTATTCAGGGTCTTCAATTTCCCAACAAGTGGTATCAGAGCTGTAAGGTTGCAGCATCATGGGTGATAGATATCAAGCACACTATTATTATGAAGGGGTCCTGAAGTTCAATGGAGAGAATTTCAGTTTTTGGAAGATCCAGGTAAAGGATCTTCTTACATGCAAGAAGATACACAAGACTTTGGGAGAGAGACCATAGGGATGGTAGACAAGGATTGGAATGAGATGGATGAGCAGGCCGTTGCCAACATTAGAATGGCGTTATCAATGAATGTTTGTAGTTTGGTGGCGAAAGAGACTACAGCGAAAGATTTGTTGAAGGACTTGCAAGACAGGTATGAAAAACCTTCTGCTAACACAAAAATACTTCTATGGACGAAGTATTTTAATATCCACATGGAGGAGGGAACTTCGGTGAATTCTCACATTAATGAACTCACTGATATCTTGAACAAGTTAGAAGGGATGGGTGTCAAGATTGACGAGGAGGTGAAAGCTATGAGCTTGTTGACGTCTTTGCCTAACAATTGGGAGACAATAAAGACCGTGGTGTCGAATTCGCTAGGGGAAAATAGCTTGAAATTTACAGCTATTTGTGATGCCGCCGTATCTGAGGAAGCCCGGAGAAAATTAGGGAAAATGTCTGCATCTACTTCAGGGGCAGAAACCGAGGTTGAATCAGCTTTGGTAGCTCAGAACAAAGGGAAGGCAAAGATGAGTTACAATGGGAAACAGCAGCAGAGATATAGTAGGGGTAGTGGGAGTTCCAGTGGAGAAGTAGAGTGTTATTACTGCCACAAGAAGAGATACATTAAACGCTTTTGCAGGAAGTTTAAAGAAGATCTTGAGAAGGGGAACACTACAGCAAATGTTGTAACAGAAGAAGAACGGATTGAAGAGTTTCTAGCTTGTGTTCAGAGGAACATATCTGTAGATCAGTGGGTGGTTGACACTGCAGCATCCGCGCACGTTGCTTCAGACAGACGTTGGTTCTCATCTCTTACTATAGGTGATTATGGCTCAGTGAAGATGGGGAATGAGAGTATCTCCAAGGTGAGAGGAATTGGAGATGTTTGTTTGAAGACAGGCAAAGGGGACGAGTTGGTGCTACGAGGTGTTAGGTATATTCCTAGCTTCAGATTTAATTTGTTATCCGCAGAGAAGCTAGATGACGATGGCTACAACAATGAGTTTAGTGGGGGTTGCTGGAAGCTTAAGAGGGAATCCAGGGTGGTGGCAACAGGCCACAAGAGATCTAATGTGTCAGAATTTGGGGTTGCCAAGGGTTCACTGAGACAGACGATGCACAGAGTAACTGCAGATGGTTTAGGGCGAGACCTTAGAGGACCAGCAGCATTGATGGCCAGAACAGATCAAAATAATCTGCCATCAGCTCAAGTAAAACAGTTGAGAAGTACAGAAAAGGGAAACAGGAATTTGATAAGTCATCGAGTTCATACCTCAGCTGTCAGACGTTCAAGCGAGCTGGTGAAGTCGCATAGGCGAATTAGTGCATTGAAGGATACGAGTTTTGTTTCTAGTGTGGCGACAGACTTGGGTGGGAACGCCAAGTCATTATGGGAATCTTCCTTCAGAGGTCGTTGGGTTCGATCGAGAAAGGAAGTAATAGGGACTACTTAGATCAAGTAGGAGTACGTGGCTATGTCTCTAAGTCTGGGGGACAAGACCACGTAGATTGCTCAGTCTCGGGGCAATCACAAACAGATGCTTGGGTAGGGCCAAGCAGTATTAATCAGTTCGTTGATATAGGAGTCAGAACTGTGCCTTGACAGAGGGTGTCAAGATGATGGAACACTGTTGATGCAGTGGGAGGCAGAGAATTGTCGCTTTGTCTCCAAGTGGGAGATTGTTGGGATTATGGAGCCAAAACAGGAAAAACACATGTCCTATGAAGAAAATGATTTTTCAACACTATTACAAATTCCTACAGGCAGTAGGATGTTGTTGTCTTATAAGGATTACAATATTGTTTTCTTATAATAATTAGGATATTTGGCCTCTTATAAATAGAGCCCTTATGTTAAGGTTTCATTTGTACATAATCCAAATAAAAGGGACTTGAATGGTTGTCGACAGTGTTGAAAAGGATTATGTATCCCGTGGGTTTAGTGAGTGTTTTTCATTCTTGTACCTAAGTATAGTGTGTTATAATACTTAGAAACTAGAGGACTTTTGTTGGGACCTCTAGCGGATATTTTTGGGGAGAGTTTTGTATTCTAATCCTTAAACAATTATTAGTGAATTACCCACATGTGAGTGGAAGACTGGACGTAGCCCTTAATGGTGAACCAGTATAATTTGTTGTGTCGTTATTCTGTGCTTTTACAGTTTTCTTCCTATTTTCATATATTTTGATTGTGTTTGGAAATTTATGTAGAAGAGAAAATTATTCAGTGTCTTCAATTTTCCAACATTATTCGTGGTGTGCAATTGCCCTTTTTCCTCAGGTTTGAATCATCCCATGTCTTGAAAATTCGAAAAGCACACTCTATGATGCCCATTAATGTCTTGTTCTGTAATATGAAAAATACGATTCCTATACTCCCAAATTTTACAAAATATAATTTGTGCTTTTCCTCATTTGCCCGTGTCCAATGCCAGTCGTAGTAGTCCTTGGAACTCTAGCCGACCCTTTTCAAACAAACAGAATGAACATTAGTGTTGAAATAAATGTTCCATATATCGCCTACAAACATGCAATTCAAAAAAATATGTGCCATTGACTCTGCCTCCTTTTAGTAGAAGGTACATCCTTGATTTATGTTGAGATACTGATAAATGAATTAAATTATCCAACCCATCAGCTTAAGCTTTTCGATTGAGTGATGATTTATTCATTTTAACATGGTATCAGAGGGGAAGGTCCTGTGTTCGAACCCCTATACTTTTGGCCTAACCCTTTTTGAAAAGTTTTATCCCCCATACTATGCTTCTCCAAGCATATAAGGATGGGTTAAATATATTATGGAATAAGGGCCATAACATTTCAACGCTTTCCTACGAATAAAATCATTTACGATACCAAAGATGGCAACTGGTCGAGCAGCATTCTAAATTAAATTTATAATTAAAAACTAATATAAATAAAAAACAATATTATAGTATACATATTATATGAAAAACATTAGCCTCTACAATTTTGGGTCTTAGATGGTTGTTGGTAGGTTACAAGAAAATGTAAAACGTAATATTTGGTTAAGGAAAGGTACAATCTATTATATATAGGTGAAGAAAATTATCTCCATTCCTATTTTGAGGACAAAACCAAAAGAAAAAACTTATGAGGGTTACAGCAACCCATACATGTATTTGTTTTTAACATTATATTAGAAAAGTGAAAATGTAGAATGGTTTGAAAGGGTAGCTGTTAAAGCAATACTATGAAAGCCACAAGTCTCGAGAGGGAGGGATGAAAAAGTAGAGATAAGTCCATCCAAATTAATAATTTAAGACAGAAAATACAAATCAATATATATTGATCTCATGATCAGATAGCGTGTGAATGGGTTGACTATTATTTCTATTTTCTATATATATTAATTAATTGATGAAAATAAAGTCAAAGCTGGCATGAATATTGGACTGCTTCTTCTTGAACAATTTGGGTGTGGCCATTAATTAATGACACTGGCTTTGGGTGCTACGGTTTATGGATGAGAAAATGACCCAATTTAAAGCCCTCTCTCAACCGTTTGCTTTTTCTGTCTATAAAACGAGTCCCTCACTTCTCATCCAATCATCCAAACCCCAACTCTACCTCTACTCCACTCCTCAATGGCTTCCAAGATTCTCTTTCTTGTGCTTCTTTCTGCTTTTCTCTGCACCACTTCTTGGGCTCGAAAGCTCACTACTACCTCTTTTCACGACCAGAAATTCTTCCACCGTCCCGGATTTGGCGGTGGTGGAGGCGGTGGAGGGTTCGGCGGAGGCGGCGGTGGAGGGCTAGGCGGTGGTTTTGGTGGAGGATCTGGATTTGGCGGAGGCGCTGGCGGTGGTGCTGGTGGTGGTGCTGGAGGTGGCTTCGGAGGAGGTGGCGGTGGACTAGGAGGAGGTGGTGGCATTGGTGGCGGAGCTGGTGGCGGGTTCGGAGGAGGGGCCGGTGCAGGAGGAGGACTTGGTGGTGGCGGTGGRGCTGGAGGAGGTGGAGGTTTTGGTGGCGGCAGGGGAGGTGGACTTGGGGGTGGCAGTGGGTTCGGCGGAGGTGCCGGTGCCGGTGGTGGATTTGGAGGTGGAGTACTTCCTTGAAGAATAAAATTTTACTACAAAGGAAAACAGTGACCTCTAAGCTTTTTGTGTTTATTTTCTTCCATGCAAATGTGCTATGTTATGTTGTTGTATTATGTTTGTTGTTTTTGGTTCTAAAATGAAAAGGGCTAATCTCATATCCTCTACTATTGTATTATCTTTTCACCCATAATTTCGTCTCATATATTTCTAATTTTAATTTCATCTGAGAAATAAAAAGGAAAAAAAAAAAGTTCATAATTTCGATCTCAATTCTCGCAGCTAATTTTTATGGAGAGAGAGAGCAAAATGTCAGATGATTCTCTCATGCTGATTGGATGACCAATGATATGAAACCCTAATTTCAAATAATGTAAGGACTCCACATAACAATCAATCTTATTTCGGCGATTCTACAATTCCCCATGAATATTTCTTAATATAATTAACTTCATGCTTCCAATAAATAATAACGTTCTCAAGTTCTTTTTCTTGCTCTTTTTTTTTATTGTTATTTTAAATTTTGGTGTCAATTTTAGTTCCAACTAGAGAGTAGAAAATTAAAATCACCGAGGAAGAGGCAAAAAATTTACATTGTTAACGTTATATTATATATAAATGTAATTTATCAATTTTATATTTAACTGTTTTATCACACTTTTATATAAACTAGTTTGTATCACGTGCAATGCACGTGGTTATAAATATTTTAATATAATATTTCTAACAATTTAACATATAGAATAACAACTCAACACAACTTTTAAATGTACTAATATTTTGCTTTAAATAAAATATATTTAATATAATATTTCAACAAATTTAACATATAGAATAACAACTCAACGGAAGTAACATTTTGTTTCAAATAAAATATATTATTATTTGTTGACATTTTCAATAAAAAAAAGTACAGTCTTCAAACTAAAACAATAAAATAAGAGGTATAAAAAACATTGAATATACTATAAAGTTGAAATAATTAATGTGGTTATCAATTTTTGATAATCAGGTCTATTGTTAATTGATATATAGTAAATTAAATCAAATTATGTAACTAAAAATTCAAACAGTAGTGAAATAATTTGTTAGATTGTGAAAATTATAATTAAATATTAAATGATTGGAACAAATAAAATTACTTATTTTTACTCCTAAGCTACTTTCTAAAATTGGAAAATCAAATATATTTTTTCTATTTTTAAAAGGATAAATATAAATTATACTACACCATTTAAATATAATAATAATTAAAAATTACAATCCATACCTATTGACACAAGTATTAACAACTTTCTTAATCTAAATATGGATACAATTTAAAAAATGGATGGTATAATTAAATATATTAAGGTAATATTATGTAGTTAAAGAAATAATGTTTCGATAATAAAAAACTAAAAATAAAATAGACACAATACAAAAATTGAAGTTTATGACGTAAATATAAATTAAACCAAAATAGTAAATAAGAAAAAAAATATAATCTTAGAAGAAGGATCTGTCTCTTTCATCTTAAATTTAATAATTCGTAGTTTCAATAATTATCTTTTTTAATATTTTTAAAGTGAGAATTTTATATTGTTTTCTCCTGAACTTCTGCCCACAATGATCCATTATGCCCACAATGATCCATTACTATCTATGCAAACATAATTTCAATGCAAAATTGATTCAGGCAATGATTCATTACTATCTATGCAAACATAATTTCAATGCAAAATTGATTTGAACCGGACAATTCTTATTCGTTGTCAAATATTTTTTAAAAAGAATACAACAATAATCTTTTTGTGTGTTTTCTTAAATTATTTATTCATTCTTTTATTTTTGTATATTATGTAACAAGGAAGAATGAACCAGAATTAAAAAATTGATATTTGAGAAAGAAATTGAATACTATGTACTGCCATGAAATCATTGAAATTGAATGGTCACAACATTTTTGGATTTGTTATCTCAACAGACACTTTAACTCGAACAATCGTGTCTCCCCTAGAAATTTAAAGGGCAAAATAGATATGTATTTAAAAGTGGGGGGCAAAATAGGGAGGTAAAGATTCCCGTCCATAGCCCCATTTAGATATAATATAGATATAGATTATAACAAACTATGTACGACTCGTTAGTTGCTCATTCCTTCATTCTTCACTTCAACGCTATGCACTTAAAAAGATTAAATAAATACTATTAGAATTTTGGGTTTTCGTGATGCACGTGAACAGTAAAATACTATTCAAATTAAAAACGTCACGAAAAGAAAAAAACGCATTTTTGGAGGGAAAAACTGAGATTTCCGGAATTTTGACCTTCTCGTCTCGTTTTTTAAACGTCACAAAAGAGTAAGACGCGTTTTTGGTGGGAAATGACGGAATGTTTCAGATTTTTAATTTTAGGAAAATATTATGAAAAATCTATTCCTCTTCATTTTTAGAACATTAGCCATTTTTTGTTTATTTTTAGGAAAACAAAATTAAATCAAAACCCTAGCCTCTCCAATATTCTTCTTCCTCCTCTCTTGGTAGCCGCCTACCCCTCCTTCTTTCGTCTCCAGTGACCCGCCACCAACCGACACGGTCAAATTCCATCCCACGCCCAAATTTCTTTCTTCTTTCTTCCTCTTCTCCCGTCAATTCTTCTCCCTCCTCTTTCTTCTTCTTCTTCAGTCGCATCTTCTTTCTTCTTCTTCTCCTACTGTTTCTTCTTCTTCTTTCTTCGTCTTTTCTACGGCTTCTCATGCTATTGATGGCACTACCAGGTGAGTAAAAAAGCCCTATTCTTTTCTTTTTTAATCCATCGTTTCGTTCTGTTTCGGTTTTTAGGGCTCTATCATTTGAAAAGTACGAAACACGAAATTTGCGATTCAAAATGCGATTTGAATTGTTTTGCCTTTGTTTCATTCTGAATAGTATACGTTTTTAACAACATTGATTTTGTGTACTCTCCCTCCAATATATCCCATCTAATATCTCTATGTTTAGCTTTGATAAGTTCTCTACTAGAAATTCGGTCTACGGTGACGTTTTTGGCTTCACAAAAAGCTTTCGTGACGTTTTTAACGCCATCACATATACACCAATCACGAAAGGTATACGAGACGTTTAAAAAACGTCACAAAAATTAGCAACGGTTTATTAGCGTCATGAAATACATGCACTTCCACGACGTTCATAAACCGTCACGGAAAGACCTGTAAGACCTTGAACAGGGGAGGAGAGGTCATGTGACATCCTTTCATGACGGTGTTTAAACATCACGAAAAGTGTATTTCGTGACGGTGTTTAAACGTCATGAAACATTTATTCCGTGACGTTTGATAATCGTCCTAAAAAATATTTTGGTGACGGTTTAAAAACGTCACTAATGATTTTATTTTGTGACGATAAAAAGAGGGTCACTGAATATGTATTTAATTTTGATTGCAGACGTCGCGTAATATTTAAATCTCATATAATTAAATTGTCAATGGAAATCACAAATACATTAATTTAGATAACAAAATTGAAATATATATAATATTCTAAATATTCTCGGACTTGCTAGTACATTATATTAAACATGTTCAAATTCCTACAAACACAAATCACACACCAACCCCAACAAGGAAGCTCATCCATCAATTAGTTGCATCCCTAATTGTCGACTTCTTTGTGTTCGTGAAAGACCTAATGAAAAAAACAATACCCAAGTTAGATAAATGAATAACCAAAGATAGATAAGGAAAGAAAATCAATTCTAAAAGAACGAGTCTATTTATTAAAAAGTGCAAAGGATCGTGAAGATAACTATATATTTCACATTGTATAAGAAAAAATTCAATTAACATTCTTAAATAAACGCAATAGGAGCCTATCACAATAGTAATCTTTACAAATACAAATCCCAACAGAACAAAATTGATTAGACAAAAACCAATCTTATACACTTCTTCTACACCCTTCAGTAATATATCATAAAATATCATAATTAAACAAGTATCACAATGATTGAAAACGTACATTAATCTTCTATAACACTACAAATAATCAACATTCACAGTCTTCCTTATCAACTTACTCAATAATCTGATAAAACAACCAACATAACGATCAAACAAAGATCCGAACAGAGCAAGCGCGATTAAAATAAACGACATGCCTACACTTTTTCTACATCCTTAAATTACATAGCACAAAATATCAGTACAATCATAAGGTTTGTAAACGTACAATCATCCCATAATGAAAGTATCGATAATCAGTATTTATAAAACTCTTATGTACTTACACAATAATATGATACGATAACCAACAAAATAACTAAACAAAGTTCCAAATAGAACAAAATAGGTTACAATAACAAAAGAACCCAACACTTGTTCTATATCCTTTAGTAGTATAGCACAAAATATACTTCTAATAATATAGCACAAAGCTAGTATATCAGAAGGATTGGAAACGTCCATTCCTCTTCTAACGACAGTATCTATAATCAATATTCAGTTTTCCTTGTGAACGTACTCAATAATTTGATAAAGGTGCTAAATTAGCTATAGTTACAACATATAACAATGCTGATTCAGAAAAATTTAAGATTTAAATGTTATARTACGAATGATGACGAAAAGCAAGTTAACTTACCTTTGTTATAATGGAACTTTGATGGAAATGACCACAACATGCTTAAGCTCACCTGGACGCGGTCCGACAAAATAAAAAATCCTTACAACTTCTTGTTCCAATACGAAGCTTGTTCCTGTCATATAAACTAATAATAGACAAGTTAGGAAAATAGGCTTTCTCAAAAAATTTGACATAAACAATAACATTTAAACAAAATTTTAAATTTTGTGGACGAAATTCTTCAATGGTGTTAAGAAAAAAATTTATAGGTGCACAAGTTATATAATGATTGGAACCTTCACTGTAATTCTGCTATAAAACTTGATTCCCAACCTAAAACAAAGAAAACAAGGAAAAAGAAAGGAAATAAAGATATGCATTCGAAACTACATATTTCTAAAGAACAATTGACAGGTAACAACTTAAATACTTTAAATCTCCTTTATTAAGTATAACCAAAATCAGTTCACACAATAATTCAACCCACTTAAAATCAACACCCAAGAAAATTCAAAACCACAATAGTTAGCATCACCTTAGTTGTGACAATGGGTAGAAACAAAAGAGTAATCATATGCAAGATACTTTCCAGAGAAAGATAAAAGAGACCTATGGGAATAAGTGGCTTTCTTCGGCATAGATAATGAAATCTATTGTGCTAGACACTGATGCCTTTCTTCATCATAGATACAATGAAACACAAAAACTCCACAGAAGTAGGAAAATTCTCATACTGTTTAAAAGTAGGAAAATTCTCATACCATTCAAAAGTAGGAAAAGCAGCATAGAAAAATGAAAGCTAAGGAGCGAAAGAATTAATAATCGAGAGTGAGAAGTTATTACCATTAAACAAACACAAAATCAATAATTAAATAACATAAGCAAGAAAGGAGATGAAATAATGTAGTAGTTATAAGATTAAGATAAAATAGGCCGTTTGTAAGCATATTACAGCTAAAAGTGAAGTGATATTTCTTATCAAAAGAAAAAAAAAAAGTAAAGTGATACATGATACTAATATTAAAAATGATTTGTAGACACAAACTTGGCATTAGGTATACAACATTCTTGAGAAAATATGAGTAAAATTTAGCTTACTTAAAAGCTTCCAAGTCATTGTTGAACTTGCTTGAAAGCATTCTCTAGAATCACGGTGGAAAAATGAAATTTAAAATTAAACCAATAGCAAATTTTGACAAAATCAAGGCAAACTCGAACACATTTTTTTACGGTACGTGTAAATACATCAGACAAGATCAGTGAACTCAAATCAAATATATGTAATAAAACACAACAAACTCACAAGTTCCATCTATTTTTCACATAAATGAAGCTTGTTTTAYAGAGAACCCATTAAAGGCACTAGCACGTCATCAAGGATTTTGGAATYTGTCAACAAAGAACATATTGAAAAAGGTAGAGGTACAAAGATAAAATAAAATACTGTGTAAACAATAATAAACACAAAATGTCAAAATCTAATTAATATTATACCAGTGATAACTGATACTATGAGATGCCAAAAATGGGTCTAAAATTAATGTAGATAAATCTAGTTCAATACGCATTTGTTAAATGGAATGGGCCGATCCCATAAAAACACACCGATTAGAAGTATTTGGAACATTCAAATCTCTAGACATAACACAAATGCAAAAGCAAGCAAATGTTACAATATGCTTAAATAATTATGGCGCTACAATTAAATCTAAAAAGTATTGAAGCATATGTACTTCAGATTCTAAGAGAAATTTTTCTTTGATGTAAGAATCACAAGTTTACTTATTACTCAGAGTCAAAACTTTCTACTTAAAAATTTAGTGAAATCAAAGTATTTGGGTGTCGCACATTTGTCTTTCACAGTTGAACAAATTCAGTTTCAAAATTTTTTTTAGAACAACTCAGAAAAATTCAGTTTCAAAATTTAAGGGTTCAATCAGAGGGATTCTTTGGTTGTTGCATTGAATTTTGAATTTTATATATATATATATATATTAAAATAATTAATGAGAACCATCAGATTACCTCGCATAGCTAACAGAAAGATATATGATTTGAATGATTCTAACCTTAAATGATCATAAAAATATTTCTTGTCACTTATCGAGAATGTGAGATTAAYGAACAGAAAGAGAGCGATACCTGGTAACGCCAACGATAGTGGCTACATCATCGATCACTGATACTTCCAAATTGAAACCAAAGAAAATAACTCAAAATATCCTAAACTTTTTAACATAATAAATTCAAACCAAAGAAGGTTCAGGAGAACTAGCACCGAGGGTCAATTTATTTGGTTGACTTCCAACATCAATAGCCTCTGCCTCCCCACACTAACCATCATTGATTGAAACTCTCCATGCKTGTAAGTTTGAAAGAGATAAAAAAGAACAATAGGTATTAAACAAGTTGCATTACATAAACCACATAATCACTTTCTTTTATGAATATGTTCCATGTACCACAAACGTTGCAAAATATAATGGAGAGTTCACATACAGCCACAATTTTAATTTTGGTAAAACCACAAAGTTTGATAAGTATAGGCCTTCATTCAATGAGAAATAAATCAAAAGACAAAAGGTACAATGTCTCTCGTAACAGTGTCTTTGTTTCTACAAATTCTAACATAGTAACAAGGGAAAGTATGAAGAGGGAATATTGAGAAAAGAAACTAATTTATTGCTCAACTTGTAAAGGCAACTACATTATTGTCAAAACAAGACCTAACAAGTTCATCATCAAGAGCAAAACAGTTGATTTGGGAATTTTATCTTCTTTGCAACTTGCCACTGTACCCAATAACTTGAATCCATTTAATAATCAACTTATTGTAGCTAGTAGATAATATAACTTTAGCAGATTTAGGAACGACTAATGAAGTAACATTCTTCATATGTCCGGATTATATAAAGGGATTTGTCAAGATCACTAGTTGAAAAAGACTAAAAGATCTATCAAGATCATAAACTATGACAAGATGTTTCTCTAACTTCCGATATCATTAGATATCTCCCAAACTTTTGCCCGTTTTGTCAACGGACATAGTCAACACTTAAAATTTATGATCATATTAGTAAACTGTACAGATAATTCAAGTAACTAAAATGTAAAGTAAGGCAAAAGGAAGCATTGAAGGGATGAGAATCCCGGAGCGGAAGCAGATCTTCGTCGCTGATTTTCGGGATACAAAACCAAAATTGAAAGAAGGAAAAAACAGAGGAAACTTTACCTTTGAAGAACGTTTCTTCAACGAGTTTCCCTCGAACACCACCACTATGTCTTCCTCGCTATCCTTTTGGGTCTCGGGATCGTGCTGGTGGGAGCAATCTTTTAGAACGAGAGGGAGAGATTGAGAGAGTTCTTCTTGATTGAGAGAAAACGGTTGGGTGTACTTCTTCTGTGTTGTGTATTTTGCAGAACTGCAAAAACAAAACAGAAGCAGTGACGTGGGGCAACTCCTCACGTCACACTAACCTCCTACTCCCCTGCAATTTTGCAGGGGAGTTTAATATTATTAATATTAATAATATTAATAATATATATATATATAATTAATATATATATAATAATTAAAATATAAAAATTAATTTATTAATTAATCATATTAATTAATAAATAATTATTAATTATTAATCCAATTAATAATTAATATATATATATAAATCAAATAAATAWTTAACACTTAATTATTTATCACAAAAATAGAATCATATTCTATAACATTTCTCTCGTATAACCTATAGTTCTAATGTACATCTTATGCACATTATTTTTAACCTATAGTTTTAATATGAATCTCATTCATATTAATTTTATTTGAATCTCATTCAAATAATTTCTCTCATAATATATAGTTTTAATTTATAATTAACTATATATTATAATGTATCAATATACATATAATCACTTAAGTAATTTGAACAATTCAAATTCTTCCAAAAACTTGATCCTCGTTTTACCCGTTATGAGCTAGCAAGGGGACCTAATGGACATACAGATCCGAAGCTCCAACGATGCAAGATTAATCGGTCAAACTCATTGACCGAGTTAATCTAGATTCGTTAACTACGAGTCATTCCACTAAAGACCCGCAATTGTACTCTTCTCACTGCAGAATGTTTTCGTGTCCATGGATATACGACCATTAATGACGAGTCAATCCTTCACGAGTGTTTGTAACTCAAGTTGGGTTAAATTACCGTTTTACCCCTAAGTTACATCTTGCTCCTTAAACACCACTGCTCTTATAATGAACAATCCGGTTATGGTCCAACCAATAACCGGAAGTCCCTCTCGGCCAATGAGAGGGTGGGGCCCCTTGTTCAAGTCCCGGAGTCAGCATTTAAGGGAACACTCATCTACTCCCCTAAAGTCGGGGAAGAGTGAATTCTATCTTGTGAAGTTATGTTCCCAGCTCCCCACTCGATCTCGTCCCCAAAATGGTAGGAATGTTGAGTCGGCGACTCGGGCCACTCTCACCCATACAGATCAAAGGACGAGTCCTCACGGGTAGGAGTCCATAACTCACTCAGGATTGAGAATGAGTTGTCTGGTCATCCTAAGAAATAGCAATCTATTAGTTAACGGTGTTACATCTAAAGATTGCCTATGTCGTGGTCCGGTCTTATACAAACTCATTGTATAGGATACCCCAACTCGCATGTCTCCACACGAACGACCTGGATCGAGTCGTCTGTAACCTTTACAGGATAAGGTACCCAGCCTTATCCATATACTATAGACCATTTAGGTTATTCACGGGATATTATCCATTCATATATCAGGGGTATATCAAATATATACCTCGTATATCAACTATATACCCAGTATATATATTGTCCCGATTACATCAAAAATAACCTTGGATTTTGGACAATGCAAAGCTATGATTCAACAACAAAATAAAACTTTATTAAATAGACATTTGTTTTTACAAAATACAAACTACGAGTTTAGGGCAACACACCCAACAAGCATAACATAAAAAGTCCTGTTTAGAAAGTGTTTAGCATAGCAAAAGTTTGTCAATGGCAAGATCAACTCAATAATGAAATTTTCAAACATAAATGTAAAAACATATATAACCCGTAGAAATGATGTATTAAAGTTTGGTTTCTGTTTTTACATCAAGAAAAAAGAAAAGGAAGAAAGAGGCGAGAACATGAAGATGATCAGCTACCATCATGTTCTTGAATTGGAATAGTAAGAACACCTATAAGTCTTAACGTCACATCACCAAAAATAAATTCATCAAAAAATAAAATAAAATTCTCTCTCACCCGATTTCTCTTTCTTTCCCTATTCCTATTCCCTTCTAGATCAAGCAAATCCACCTTCTTTTTTTTTTCTATAAATACCCCTCTCCTCCTCTCCACTCCCACCAACAAATTCCCACATACAAATCATCCAAATCACCAGCCACTTCGTGAATTAATCTATATACTATTCATACTTTTGTGAATAAATTTTAAGTTTCTTGGTTGCAATAAATTTGCCTATAATGTCGCGTATCGTCGCTTGTCGTAGGTGCAGCCGCTGTGCCTCAACAAGTTCATCGGATCTGAAGCAAAACTATTCGACTGTTCTCTCAACTCACCGGAGAACAAGTCGTTGTCGTAGAAAACGATCACCGCACACTAGAAATCAAAGGAAACATTTCTGGTTCTTACGTTGCACTACCCCCGATCGCCACTGGAATGATACGCCGCCTCTGCTCATGTCGCTCGTGTTTCGTGTCCTGCCGCTGGAGGTCTGAGATCGCCAGAGAGTGGCTGAGGTTGGACGAAAAATGGAAGGGGAGGAGTGGTTATGGAGAAGAAGAGAATATGGGGGTTGCAGCATACGTGAACAAAGAGGAAAAAAATAACGGTTAAGGTTTGGTTTTTGTTTTGTTTTTTTTAACATTATTTACTAAAATTAAATTTGTATTAATATATTTCGAAAGTCAGTGTTAGTCATAAAAAGCTTTGTTGGTCGATTCACTTCAAGTTATAGTTTTAATGTCTAGGTCGTGGATTCAATCCGTGATTTACGCATATTTGTTTTGTTAATTTGTAATTTTCCTACTTTTCGTGACAATTCTTAAACGTCACAACATCTAAGTTTTTGTGACGCTTTTTTAACGTCATGAAAAAGCCAGAAACCCGAAGCATTCCATCTTTTCCCGTAAAAAACGCACGTGTCCTTTTCGTGATGCTTATTAAATGTCACGAAAAACATACTTAATTTCTACTTTTTGGTGACGGTTAGAAGAAATGTCACG